TCCTCCTCCCCCTCCTCCTCCTCCTCTTCTTCTTCTCTTCCTCTTCCTCTTCTTCTTCTTTTTTAATACAACCAAAGTGTTGCAGAATATGTGTTTACACTGCGTGAGGATGTGTCACTGTGATTGGCTTAATAAAAAGCCAAATGGCCAAAAACTAGGCAGGAGAAAATAGAGAGGACTTTGGGACAGAGAGAAATCAGAGAGAAAAAAATCTAGGCGTGTGGATTTCACCAACAGACTCAGCATGTCTGAAGTGCCATACTGAGGCAAGGTAAAAGCCAAGTGGCGGGAGGTAGATTAATAGAAGCAGGTTAATTTGAGTTATAAGAGCTAGTTGGAAAAAAGCCTAAGCTAAGGCCAAGCTTTCGTAATTAATAATACGTCTCCATGTCGTTATTTAGGGGCTGGCTATCCAAAGATCATCTGACAAAAAAGCTTGCCACATCAAAGTTTATTTTTAAGATAATTTTATATTTATGCATTTTTTCCTTTACTGAAAAATCAATTCTTTTTTCACATACTGTATCCTGATCATGGTTTCCCCTCCCTCTATTCCTTCCAGCTCCTCTCAATCTCCCCTCCCATCTGGATGTACCTCCTTGCTGCCTCTCATTGGAAAACAAACAGGCAAGGCTGGAGAGATGGCTCAGTGGTTAAGAGCACTGACTGCTCTTCCAGAGGTCCTGAGTTCAATTCCCAGCATCCACATGGCTGCTCCCAACTATCTGTTACTCCAAGATCTGACACCCTCTCACAGACATACATGCAGATAAAACACCAGTGCAAATAAAATAAAAATAAATAAATAGATCTAAAAAAAAGAAGAAGAAAACAAACAGGCTTCTAGAGGGATAATAATAAAATATAGTAAGATAAAATAAAAACTAGCACGTTGGAATTAGACAAAACAAACAGAAGGAAAGGAGCCCAAGAAAAGGAACAAGAAACAGAAATAGAGACAGAGACCCACACATTCACTCACTCAGGTGTAGCTCGACTTTCTTGTTGGACGTTTTATGGACCGCCAACTCTCCAATAATGACACGGAGACTTATTATTAATTATGAAAGCTTGGGCTTTAGCTTAGGCTTGTTCCCAACTAGCTCTTAGGACTTAAACTAACCGGTTTCTAGTAATTATACCTTCTACCATGTGGCTCTTACCTCTCTTCCATTCTGTATGTCCAACTTGCTCCACATCTCACTGACATCTCTTTCACTGGCCTAGATGTATCCCAAATTCCTCTCTCCCCAGAACCCCATAAAAACACTAAATGGGAAGCCATAAGATGTATACAAAGTGCCCGTAGGGTAAAAAGAGAGAAAAATACATGTGTAAAATGAAATTTAAATTTAAAATATAAAATATAAGGTAAAAAAATTTTTAAAAAGGAAAAGCCCTGACAGGACATTGAGACAAAGGGCCTCCAAAGACGCCATTGAGTTTGCTTTCTCTTGGCCATCTACTGCTGGGTAATCAGCCTCCACTTAAAAGAATAGTTTGTTTGCCCAGTGAGACTCCCTTGCAAGAAACTAAATTTTCATTTGCAGCTGGTTATCAGTTGGAGACAGCTTCTGGCTAGGCATAGGGGCATGTGCCCACTTGTTTCAGCTCCAGGACCCCACATGGTGCAGACCCATGCAGGCCCTGTGCATGCTGCCTCAGTCTCTGTGAGTCCATGTGAATGTCTATCCTTTTGATTTTTTTTTTTTTTGGCCTTGTTTCCTTGGTGTCCTCCACCCACTTGGGTTCTTATAATCTTTCTACCTACTCTTCTTTGGAGTTTCCTGAGCCTAGAGGGGAGGAATTTGATGGAGACATCCTGTTTGGGGCTGAGTGTTCCAAGATCTCTCACTCTCTGCATAATATCTGGCTGTAGGTCTCTGGATTTGTTCCCATCTGCTGCAGAAAGATGCTTCTTTGATTATGGTTGAGCAAGGCACTGATCTATAAGTATAACAGAATGTCATTAGGAGTCATTTTATTGCTTTTTTTTTTTTTGGTGGTATTGTTGCTTATTTTATTTTTTAGAAAAGTAGTATTTGGTTTTACCCTAGGTCTCTAGTCAATCTAGTCTCAGGTTCTTCTTGATCACCTAAGCAGTGTCAGGTATGGGTTCTACCTCATGGAATGGGCCTTAAATCCAATCAGATGCTGGTTGATTACTCCCACGAGCTTTGTGCCACCGTTGCGTGAGCGTATCCTGCAGGCAGGACACCATTGTAGATCAAAGGATTTGTGGCTGGCTTGGTGTTTACATTTCTCTTTTGGTAAGCCTGCAGAGTGCCTTCCTGTACCAAAGACTCGCGTATGTCAGTGTGATGGCTCTGTGTAGGCTCAACTTCTCCATGTTCAATGAGTGTGCAGGTATTGTCTCCACCAATGGGACTTTGCCGTCAGTTTGTGGCGAGCAACCCACAGTCTTGGCAACAGCCTGGGTTGTTCAGGGCTTCTCAGGGGACCCCTTTGGCCCCCAACTCAATTATATGTAACTGGTATTGGAAACTTTATTTGGTGACAAGAGATGTCCAGTTGAGACTCTGTCTTCCCCATTATTTGATTTCAGTTAGAGCACCTTCATACGTGTATATATTGTAGGAAGCTTCTGCAGTATTGGATTTCCATACTGCCCCTCAAATGGCCCTTAATTTTAGCTGCCTCTCCCCGTATTGCCTCCCTCAGCCTCCTCCCCACTCCTCTTCCTCATTTTCCTTGCTACTTGATCCTCCCATCACACACACACACACACACACACACACACACACACACACACACACACACCATTCATAACTATATAGTCTAGAACTATCCCTTTCCTAGGGATGTCTGCCCCCCTTAGTCCTTGACCTGTACCTAACCTCTGTGGTTTTAGGAATTGTGGCTTGGTTATCATTGACTTAACAGCTAATATTCACATGTAAATGAATACATATCGTATTTGTCTTTCTGTGTCTGGCTGTGTGACTGTGTGGCTGGCCCCTGTCACCCTCCTCTCCTCCTTTTCGTGCTCCTCCTCTTCTTTCTTTCTCTTTCTCTTTCTACTTAATCTTTCTGCCTGGCAGGCCCCCCATCCCTCTCCTGCATGGCTATTGGCCATTCAGATCTTTATTAGACCAATCAGGTGTTTTAGGCAGGCAAAGTAACACAGCTTCACACCGTTAAACAAGTGCAACATAAAAGAATGGAACACATCTTTGTGTCATTAAACAAATGTTCCACAGCATAAAAGAATGTAACACATGTTCAACTAATATTCCACAATAAGCATCTTTCTTTAGGTTAGGGAAATTTTCTTATATGAGTTAGTTGAAAATATTTTCTGTGCTTTTGACCTATTATTCTTAGATCTCATGTTTTCATGGTATCCAGATTTCCTAAAATGTTTTCTTCTATTGTCCTTCAATGCCTGATAGCCTTCCTTCCATCTCTTGTATTCTGCTAGTGAGTCTTGCCCCTGAATATCCTGTTCAAGTTCCTAAATTTTTCATTTTCAATTTTTCCTCAATTTGGGTTTTCTGTACTGGTTCTATTTCCACTTTCAAGTCTTGAACTGCTTTATTAATTTCTTTCCACTGTGTTTTCATAAATTTCTTTAATGAATTTATTCATTTCCTCTTTAAGGACCTCTGTCATATTCATACATGCTGTTGTAAGGTCTTTTTCTTGTGATTCAGCTATGTTAGGATACGCAGGGCCTACTGTAGTAGGGGTTCTGTGCTCTGGTGGAGATATATTATCTTGGCTGTTAATGATTGTGTTTTTATGGTGGCATCTAGGCTTCTGGGTTTGGGATGACTGTAATTCTAGGTGATGATGTCTGGTCTTGTCTTTGTTGGGTGGGTGTTTTGTTCCATGTCTTCTGTGGCCCTCTGGTTCTTAGGAGAGTGTAGTGGCTGTGTGTTGCCCAGCAGTAAATTCTGCTGGGAATTGATAGGGGTGGCCACTAGGGGTTCCAGATAGAATGTGTTTCTAGGTATTTGGAGGTGACACTTGGGAATGAGGATGGGCTAGGAGAGCCACAGGTTGAAGGGAAGCAGGGTGTTCCATCAGGATCTGCTGAGGCCCCTGGGAATGGGGACAGAGAGTGAGGAGAGGCCCCATTAGATAGTCTGCTACTGTGAGACTGAGGATTGGATTCAGAGGAGAGGAAACAGAGTGACCCTATCTGCTGCTTTGATGGCCTTGTTGCTTCTCTGGCAGGCTTGGTTGGCTGGCTGGTTCCCAGAGAATGCCTGCTGGAGTTCGGGGGCCGGGATAAGAGGGTTAGTGGGGAGGAAGGCTGGAGGAGAAGATGGGGTGATCACCCGGAGACAGGGGCAAACAGGACAGGGAGGCGAAGCAGGTGGTGTGCTTCTGAGATGGGTGAGAATCTGGGGTTGGGTTTGGAGGAGAGGAGGGAGGGGCGGGGACCTGCAGTTAACCTCCCTGTTTCCCTGGCAGTCTTTGTGGGCTCCACGTTCCAAGGGAAGGCCTGCTGGTGTTGGAAGCTGGGATAATGGGATGAGTGTGAGGAAGGAAGGTTGGAGAAGAGGGTCGGAGAGGAGATGGGGGCGGAGAGGAAGGGTGTCCTGTTACAGAGCTGGGGATTAGACTGGGGGGTTGGATTTGGGGGAGAGGAGAGTGAAGATCCAACTCCCCAAGGATCCTAAAGGGCTTTCTTTCTACCATGAATTAGTCAGGTAATTAATGGGATAAGCAGAGCTTATCCCAAGGAAGTGTGAGTTAGACTGGAGATAAGTCTGCGGTGACAACCCACTAACTAACCAACCTACCCACCAAGCAATCACCTGTCAACCAGATTGCGAGCTAACCAACCTACCTGCTAACTAACCAACTCAAATAACTAACCACCCCACGGATGCAATGGATGTCCGCAATGGGGGAGGGTCTCCAGTTATCAACCTGGTGAGGTATTGGTAGAGCAAGGCCAAGGAAAACGGGGCTGAGACAAATAAACTGCTGGCCAGAGGAGGTCCTCGCAGCGGCCTGCAGGAATCAGCAAGCACTCGGGATGTCGGAGGGCGGAAGTCAGGCACAGAACAAAAGTGGTAGGCATTGGGTTTTGGTTTTTTGTTTTGTTTTGTTGTTGGTTTGTTTTTGCAAACTCTTTTTTTCCTCTAGAATAAGACACGAAAACCAAACAGTAGTTTCCTCCAGGGACAAAAATTGGGGGAGGCTGAGGTACAAGGCTAGAATATTTTCTAACTCAACTCTTTCCAATATTGACCTTCTTGCACTTCAAATAAAATCTTGTTGGCAGTCAGGGTCCTGGCAGCTTGGTGTGGTAGTGAAAACGCCTGTTTTCAAGGTGTGACACTCACGTATCCAGCCCCGAATTAGGATAAGAAATGTCAATGTTTTTCTCCTTCCTACCTACTGTTGCCCCAGAAAGCTGAAGCCCCCTCCCACAACCCACTTTCTGGGGCTTCTCACTTGACCGCCCCTACAGCGCTCAGGTTTGTCTGAGATGCGGAAAGTTCACGGACATTTTAGCTGACACCAGAGCTCAAATCTGAAAGGCAAGAGTCTATGAATGGCAGGACTTGGTGGAGAAAATCCCCTGTTCTCAGGCTACGCGGGCTTACCTTCCTTCCTTTTCTGGCTCAAGCCAAGCTGGAGGTGGAAGGTGGGAGGCTGCGCATCTTTAAGTTTAGGGGGAAAGCCTCCGGGAGTTTGGTGGAATATCCTGGCTCCTCGAGTCTACCTCAGACAGTTATCCATCGATCGCGCTACTCTTTCTGGAAGATTCCACCACAACCAGGTTCCCTTCCCTTGCATGGGAAGCCACCAAACACTTTGCTGCTGCCGGCACCAAACAGAACCTCCGGTCAGAGCGGAGGAGGGGAACCTCGGGAGGGACCCTCTGGGTCTCCCAGCTAGTCTCAGGGTCCTGCCTTTGGTCGCCTGCCTGGGTTCCACGGAGCTTGGCGCACTCAGGAGCCAGGCTGCCAGCGAGCGGAGGAAGCCAGCGGATCCCGAGGCCAGGCCCGGGTGCAAGCCCTGCGGCCCGCGGGTGGAACCCTACCCCAAGGCTTGGCTAGCTTCTTCCGTCGGGTGGGTACGAACTCGAACTGTCCTAAACGCACCCCCCCCACCCCCACTTATAGTCTGTTAAATTGACTAATAAACTCAACACAGCGTTCTCTGTGCGGCTTCAAAAACCTCCGTAATTTCGTTAGAAAACGTTGAAATCCAATCCCAAAGTATTCAGCCCAAATGTTTAGTTAAAGTAACCCCGTGGGTTAATAAACTAAACAAAGTCAACCCATGCAAAACTGTAGCAATGAAAACCAGGCTAGATAAACGAAGGGACGTTTATAAGAACCCTTTTGGAGGAGAAGGAGGAGGAGGAGGGGGAAAAAAAGCACGAAGGCACTGGGCACGGAGCTTTAATGTGAAGCATGTGAGCCGGGCTCAGCTTACAGGTACACGGCCCTCGGCGAAGGGCGCTGTCAGGCGGCATCGCCCAGCGCGGCCCGGGAAACTTTACCCGGCGTCGGCCCGGGGCAGCGGTGCAGCACCGAGCAGCACCACCGAGCTCCCCGCCCCGCCGTGGGCTCCGCCCGCACTGCCCGCGGGGACCCGTGGTGGCGCTCTCTGCTGCAGACCGGGCGGCCCAGGCCGGCTCGCCAGGAGATGCTCTGTGCAATCCTAGAGGCTGAGCCCAGCTGTCCAGCGCCAGGGGAGCAGGTCGGTGCCCGCCCTCCGCCCCTCGCGGGCGCTGGCAGTGGAGTAACAAAGGCGAGCCGCGCCCTTGACCTCCCTCCTTCCAAGGAAGCTCTTGGGAAGAGAGGGGCTGGCTGCCCAGCGCTGAATTACTGTTAGTGATTTTTTTTTGCTAGACCGGACTGGAGTGATAGCCCGGGAGGTGGAAGCGAGAGGGATCTGGGAAGGGCAGGTCAGAAACCTGGAGGCGTTGTGTCGCTTTGGGGACTTCAGTTGTAAAACAGCTCGTTCTCGGGTCCACCTCGCCCTCCTTGCGGGGCGAGCCATCAAAAGGGAAAGGAGTGGGGGACGGGTGAAGGACCAAGGGGGAGGTTTATCTCCCCCCCCGCCCCCCCCCACATCACTCTAACTTCCCTCGCCCCCTGGCCCCAGGAATTCCTAGGAGGGGCCGCCCCAGCCAGCCGGGCCCATTCTGGGAGCTCTGCGAGGAGATCAGAGGCAGTACAGGTTCTCGGTTAAATGAACCTTCAGGAGGGGACAATGGCGGGGACCTCACACGGGGGCACCGCGCCTTCCCCCACCCCGCTCAGCTGCCGCGTTCCTTTATTCCACGTGGTGAATCCTGCAGCCGCCTACCCAATGGGCCGACCCCGGAGAGCGCGGGACGCTCAGAAGATGGTTTGAAAAGAGGTGTGGGTTTTTTAATTTTTAAAGCGTATAATTGGAGGAGGGTTATTTTTCTCCCCTTGGCCAAGGAGGGGTGGAAAAAAAAAAGGAAGAAGAAAGGCAGGGGAGAAAGTCAGGAGAAACACAACGCATTTATCTATCAACTGCTAGACAAGACAAAGAGGTTTTAACAACAGTTTGAAAAGAGCGGCCTGTGAATGGTTACTATTCAATTTGTATTTTATTCCCCGCTGGTCATGGAATTGAGATCAGAAGAAAAAGTGAAAACACATGGCCGAGGTCAGGGGATCAGAGAACCACCACACACAGCAAAGGGAAAGGAAGGCACTGGGAATTCGTGTGAAGAAATGGATTATATAAACAGAGCTTACCATCGCCTGCGCCCCATTATCCTGTAATTTACCCTGCATGGGAGCATAGAAATATATTAAACTAGTGATGGGTTTTACCATTTCTTTACAAGCCAGCCTCGTGCCAATCAAGCCTACTATATACTTTGAGACATGTTTAGAATTCTTGAACTAATGTGTTTATTTTAAATATCACAGAGAAATTATTACATCACTAGAAAATAATGCCAGAGCGGGGGTCTGCCGCCCTTTTGAAGTCCTGTTTCAACGAAACATGATTTTAATTACATAATCACTTTGAAACTATAATTATACAATAAACGATGAGGATTAAGCGGGAAGTATAGAGTACATTAAAAATTGCTTAGGTCTTGAGAAAACAAACTGAACATGAGGGGGGAAAAGAAAGAGATGAAACCCGAGGTCCTGGGGAGGGGGGTTGATAAAACCCTACAATGGCTTTCTT